CTTCCTTTCACATCTACGCTCCTTCTAACCCCGCGTCTTTGCCCTCCGCCAGTCCTCCAAGTGCTGTACCTCTTCCACACCCCTGCACCTCGCCGACCACTCCCCCTTCGTCTTCTCCACACCCAACACCTCAGGGACCAAAATCTATAAAGTCCCTGGTAATGTTGAGTGTATGTTATGGAGGGCGGGGCATAAAGCAATAGATATTAACCTTGAGTCAATGGTCTGATAGAAGTAGTACCTCGCTATGGGGGAAATAAAACGGAGAAGGAGGGCCTGTAACTTGTGTTGGACTTTAGGTTGGAGGATGACAAGGAGTAGGGATCTCGCGTTTTCCTGGTAGCGGGCCATCTGCCGGTCAACCCCTGGAGCAGACACCCGAGAGCCGGTGCCGGGTCCTTAAAGGGCCTGGGTGGGCATCCTGCGCTCCGGCGGCTCTCACAGCCTGGGGATTGAGGAGGTGCCCAGGCCGCCGCTGAATATCAGTCCCAAATTCACCGCGGGTGGGGAACCTGGGATCCCATGACAAGCTCTCAAGCCAACCAAGGGAAATGCAACCCCCAGGGGAAAACACGCAGAAGTTGTGCACACAAGAGTGAAGTGGAGGGTGCTACTATTTTCCTTTTAATTATGGTACTAAAACCGACAGTTAACCATAAATATGTTTAGGTATTGGATCGTGGAGTCCAGAGACATAAGAATAGGCTTTAACAAATGTTTCAGTGTTTTGGTTGTCACATAGATTATAGTGAGATTAAGGAAGTATGTTAGTCATGTTCTGAAGGTTTGCCTGTAAAGCCAATTCCGGGAGAAATGTTTAAAAGTACAGTTTTCTTGAGATAATAGAAAAATATAACTGGTTAAGTGCAAAACAATGGTAGCTTACAATAACAAAGGACACGAAATGTCTAGTTTCTGCTTTTCACTTTAAGATAACATCGCTGACACACAACTGAAACATTTTGCAGAATCATGATTCTTCAACCCAGCATCCCTTGTGCTCACAATAATTTCGTAGTACTGTTTGTCAAGCAGGAGGAAATAACTCCAGGGCCATAAGATGAAGTTAGGAATTTGTTTTGCAGAAGGAATAAATGCCTTTAAAAAAGTTATGACTAGCTGCTCCACCCAGAAGTCTGGCTGCACCAAATTTTATCTGTTAGTGAAGAAACAGACTTTCCCTTTGGTTCCCTGAAACTCCCCCTCCCTTAACCCCTAGCTGTATAAAAACTCCCTACTTTTGCTTTTTGAGTGAGATTTGAGAAACTGTGCTCTCCCATCCTCTTGCTTTGGCCAAATCAAATAAACTTTTCTCTCTCTCCGAGCATTGGTGTCTCAGTGTTTCGGCTTACGAGTGCATCAGGCATAGGAACCTGAATTTTGGGGAGGTGATTTGCTAATGGTACTGGATGTTGGCAAGGATTCTGAAAACTGGGTATTCAAAGGTGATCCCACTTCTAGAACTTTGTCATAGGAAACCCCAAGGCTATTTATTTATTTTTATCTATTTTTTTCCCAAGGCTGTTTAAAGGATTGTTAATAACCTGGAAACAACTGGAATATATCCAATGATCAGAATAGGTTGGATAAACTATCACCCATCCCTGTAGTGCTATATTGTGCAGTAAAAGAATGTTAGAAATATGAAAAATATAGATCATAGATTTATTTCTAGATGGTAAACTACTGGGGATATATGTAATATTTTTTCATAATCGATATTTTCTATTTTTTCAATGACTATGAATTACCTTTTCTTTTAGCTTGAAGGAAAGACCAGTAAAAGCAATTTAAAAAAAGCAAGTGCATAGTCATCCTACTTACTCTTTATCACTATCACAATTAATGCCACATCCACTCACATAGCGCAGAGACCCAGAGCCGCCATCAATCTGAAACCTCTGAGAATCTTCTGCTTTGTGAACACTTGTGGGAAACACTCTCTTCACAGGAACACAACCATCAAATAGAATGCCAACTGTGTGGAACCAGAATGGGTCACTTTCCCCCTCCTCCTTCTCCTCCTGGATTCTCCTCCTGATGGGTAGCAATGTCATCTCCTCCAGCTGGGCAAGCCATTCTTCTCTCCCTCATGCCCTGTCCCCCAAACAAGACGACCTATCACTTATCCTGGCTTAGCCTCTGTCCGGCCTCTCCCATTTCCCTTCCCTCTCCTCTCACCCAGGCTGTGGGGGTCTCCTCAATGGCCTTCAAGCTCCCATTTGGGACCCTGCCAGTCTGTCCTCATGAAATCAGAGAGGCCTCCTCTGCATGTCCTCCTCTGCATGAATTCTTCCCTGGTCTCCACTACCCATGACAAATCTGAAACGCTCATTGTGGCCTCCAGGCCCTGAGACACTGGCCTCTGTCCACTATTCCTGCCTCCTGGCCTTCCTGCCCAGCTCCCTCTGGGCTCCATGCTTGTTCCTCTTGGGCCCACCCTCCTTACCATTCAGCTCCCTCTAGGGACTTCCTCAGGCTGCCGTCCCTGAGTCAGGCCCCTGTCAGATGCCATGGAGCCTTCTCCTGGGCAGCCCTTAGCCCCAGTTCTCATAAACTTACCAGTCAGAAAGTTTCGTGTCTCCTGTCTAGCTCTGGGAGGCCAGAGCTATAACCTGTTTACCCCTAGGTCCCAAGCATCCTACTCTGGGTGGACATTAAGGTCTCCAAGAAGTGAAGGAGCAAGAAAGAGATAGGAGGGATAGGGAGAGGGGAGAGGAAGGTGAGTCTAGGCGAGGGGACACCATATTCCCTGCACTGCTCCTTCAAACTTCTGTGTGAGTTTGAAATGTTTCAAAATAAAACCTTGACACTCCTGGCCCCAGCACATGGGCTCCCAGCTTGGCTCAGTGGTGGCTTCCTGCCCTACAATATTGCACACCTCCGGGCAAATGACCAGCACCACTGGCTACTCAGGCCCCAGGAGGGAGGTGGGCCCTCGCTGCATCTCTGGGCAGCCTCCAGGGGCTACCAAGTCAGCCAGGCCCCCTCACTGAACCCAAGTGCTGGCCCAGCCTATGGCTTCTCTAGCAGCAGTAGGAGGGGCCAATGGTGCCTCACTAAAGCTAGGGAGTGGATGCCCTTCAGGAACCCTGCCCAGTGGGTGGACTAGGGTCAATCCTCTCTGACCCTCCCAGGCCGGGAGTGCTTGGATGCCAGGCCAAATGGCACAAAGTCCGGCCTTGCCTTCCCCCTCTCCTCACCTCTTCTTTACTTCCATTTCCCTGGTGGCGATCCATCCTCACACGTTAGACCCTGAGCAACTCTCTTGCGTTCTTACCATCAGACAAAAACAGCTCACCAAGAGGGTGACTCAGAACTCAGGAAAGGAGAAAGTGGCGGGTAAAGGGAATCTATTTAAATATAGAATTAAGACAAAAGAAGGTCTCAATTATGGTTACAGAATATAAATGTTACAAACAAACATGCTGTAAAAATAAGAGCAAAATGGAGAGCTGGCAAGGAAAACATGCTGAGTAACGCATTCTCCTAAGAGGGAGTCGATAAATACCGATTATTTTTGGAAAATGTTGCTTTAAAACATAAGGCTTCCAAACTCCATATTTAAGGGAAAAAAAAAAAGTCCATTTCCTTGTGTCCAGTGGCAGTTTTCAAATAAGGACCACACGGGGTAAAGCAACTGGCAGCCCCACCTCCCGGGACCTGACTTCTGGTTGAAGGAGAGGAACTGTTTTCTTTACCTCCTTCTCCAGCAGGGGCAGCACCCAGGGCCTGGGAGGGGCTCAGGTTCCCGGGCATCCCCCTCAGCTCTCAAACCATCCAGAAGGAACACGATGGGAGTACTACAGATTTCTGTTGAGGTCCCCAACCTTAGACTGCAGGCTTATCCCTTCCTCAGCAGAACCCTGGGCCACCATGAGGGCAGGGCCCCTGTGTGGTTTGTTAGTCCCATGCGGCTGCCTAGAGGAGGTAAGCCTTCTAAAGGTCCAGTGGAGTAGGTTAAGCCTCCAATAGGGGAATAGGCCCTAGAAGGAGAGTCAGGGAGGGGCTGGATCAGCTTCCTAGAGGGTCAAGGCTAGCGGTCCCACCACCCACTTTCAGACCGAGGCAGCAGGAAGGGGAATCTCAGAGATCTCACCTAATGTCTGGGCCAGGGGCTGGTTTTCTAAGCTGAGGGTACCCAGGTGTGTGAGGCCTTGGGAGACAGAGGCTCCTGAGAGCCCACCTGGTCTGAGAGATGGCTTAGGCCGGGCAGCCCTGGGAAGGGGCCAGGTGAGGGCTGGTGGGGTGTAAAGGGCTCCAGGGGTTTTGGGTTGGAGGTAGGCCTCAAAGGATCCAGAATCCTAGAATTTTTACAATCCCATGATGAGATCTAGCATACAACTTCTTTTATTCTGTTTTGAATTTTTTTTCCTGCTTACAAAAGTAACCTATGCTTGAGATGAAATAAAATTACACAATGTTGAGAGCGATTACACAGTGTTGGGACTGAACCCCAAGCAGAAGTCACAGTCAAGTCCATTGATCCATCAGGGTTATGCCTGCAGTTGTCAGGATTATGGGGCTTCACTGGGCCCTGCAGTGGATTCCTCCCCGCCTGCTGCAGGTCTAGGGGCAGGCTGCCCTGCCAACTGCTCATCTTCTTTTCCATCTGGAAGAAAAAGGGGTGAGTCAGGCTAGTGTTGGAGGAAAAGGGAGGGGTGGGGGGTTGCAGACCCAGGGCTTGGAACTCTCAGCCCACCAGGGGATGTTCTGGGGCACCAATGACCAACTTAGAGAAGTAACTGCTGACTCCAGAGCTGTGCTCCCAAAGGCCAGTAGCCCAGGAACACAGAGGCTGCTAAAGTAATTTCCAGGAAACTTTAGGCCAAACATGGGCTAAGCGCTAGGAAGCTGTTGCTCTCCCCACTGCCTGGCCTGGAATGGGGTGAGAGGTGGTGAAGTTGTGGACCAGGTATAGCAGTAAAGATGGGATGGCAGGTTGAAGGGGTTGTTGACCGTTCAAGATCACCTGTCTTGGGGAGCCTGTGGGGCTGAGAGGCAACCCTTGCTCTGCTCTCCACCTGAGGAAGGGTGGCCTTATTCTAATCCTCACAATGATATGTGGGGGTTGGGGCCCACCTGGCCCAAGAATCTGGGCAGATCCCTAAGCAGAGGTCACAGACAAGGTGGAGGGGACCCTAGAGATGGCCCAATCCACTGAATTCAGTGGGAAGAACAGGCTCTGGGCCAGATGTACCTCCTTCACCCTCTGCAGTGATCAGCTGGTGTCTTCAGGGTGCTAACTTGGCCCCTCTGAGCCCAACTTCCCAAGAAGTCAGGAGACAAGCACCTCCACTCCCTGGGCCAGCAGGAGGAAGTGGGTAAACATGTGGATGCACCTGAATCGGAACTGGCTGGTGGAAGGGCTCATAGGCTGAGCTGGGCTCGCTGCAGAGGGGACTCTAGGCTCCCTAAATATGGTTCCTGTCCAGCAGAATATGGAGACTGAGGTGTTCCTGAGGTCCGCTGTGAGCTCCAGGCCTGGGGTTGACCCCAACTCAGAATCCCTGGGGTCTCAACCTGAGGGAAGCAGTGGCAGTGCCCCCATGACTTCAGGGCACTCGCCACTAAATTTCCATCACTGAGGTACCCTTTACCCTGACACTCTGCACTGCCCAGCTACCTGAGGAAGCCTAGAGGTTTTGGGTTCCCTTTCTCGGGACTGGCTGCTAGGCCAGGTGCCCTGGCTGACTCCAAAGGGGCCACCCGTTCATAGGCAGCACACACTGTGGCTTTCATTGGCTCTGTCTTCTCAAGGCATGGGAGACCCCACTTCCAGCTGAGAAGAAACCCCAGCTCATCTCCTTTCCAGCTGCTAGGCATCCGTCAGGATTCCACGTTTCACTGTCACCTGCACCAGTCTTGGTGTGGTGGCGGGGGGTGGGGCAGGGCGGCTGCTTGGGGCCTCACATAGACTCTGGCACAGAAAAATGCACACATGGACCCCCAGACACATATATATGCAAATGCATAAGAACAGACACAGACAGAAACAGGACCAGGGACGCAAACACACAAGGTCCCACAGACAGATACACCCTCCCATGTAGACAGACAGAATCTTAGACACACACACGCAGAGGCTACAGACACACAGAGATTTACACTGAGATGTAATGTGGACAGAGAGAACACATGCAGACATGTTCACAGCACAGGCATACTCTCTTTAGAGCCAGCCTAGCCTGTCTGTTCCCTCGGCTGCCCAGGTACCAGGGGACTTCTGGCCTTGGGGAAGTCTTGCTCACAGTCCTGCTCTCTGGAACTGGGGTCTCACCTGTGTCCAGCTTGCTACGTTTCTGCTCAGGCTCCTGGGGGACCGCATCAATGGCCCGCTGGGCCTCAGGATGGATCTTGAGGAGGGCCTTGGCAAGGGTGGCGGAGCCAGGCACCCCCAGGGACATGATGCAGTGCACTCCTCTGCGCTTGGCCCCAGCCACTTTGGCGCTGTCTTTGGAGGCTGTCAGCAGGACCAGTTTGGAGAATTTCCTGGGCTTCCTGGGGGCTGCGGGAACAACATCTGTGCCCAGCTTGGGGGACTCAGGGGACGGCTCCTGGCTGGCTTTCATGCTCTCGTCCTCCTGCTTGCTGGGCTCAGACAGGGGCATTCCGGGACCAATGGTGTGTCCCCAAGGTGTTCAGGCCCCAGCAGATGGATTTCTCCTCTTTCTCCCTGGCAAGAAACCTGGCAGTCCAGGGGCTCTGTCCTAAGAGAGGAGGCAAAACCCTGTCAGTGGAGGGGGCCTGGGGCTCAGGAGAACTGATATGGGGTACATGCAGGTCAGGCAGATGGGGCACCAGGCTGGGCAAGGACCTGAAAGGAGCTGAAGAACCCAGGCTTGTGCTTCTTTTCCAATTCCTCTCTTGGTGGCCTTGGGCACGTCACCTCCCTCATCCAAACCTCACTTTCCCTGAATGTAAAATGTGCTGAATACAGGGCTCCCAGGGGGCTCTGGGGCACTAAGGGATTGAAAACTGAGTTGCTACTAATATGGGCTCGTGGGTGCTGAGCATGGGCCAAAGTGTTTCATGAGTTTTCCCATTTAATCTTCCAGCCCCATGTTATGAAAGTTCTTCATTCTTACTGACTCAGTTTACAGGTGAAGACATTGTGTTGGTTACGTTGGGGCAACCAACATAGCCATGAAGCAGCAGAGCTGGGATCCAGTCCAGGTGGATCCAGAGCCCATCCTCACATGATATCTGGTGTACCTGATCCAGGATTACAGCCACTGGTGCTCCTGAGCACCAAGCATCCAAGACAGGCACTGGGGACATGAGCTGAGGTCTGACCCTCCCAGAATGCCTGGTGCCCTTCACCCTGACATTCTGCAGACCACAGAGGGAAAACCTGGTCCTGGGAAGCCAGACTCTCTAGACGCACGAGATCTGGTCCCACCCCAGGCAGGAGTCCCTGGGTCACCCAGCACTCAGGAGGTGCCAGGGCCCCATGAGGGCAGAGACCTTGTGTCTGAACAAGTGCTGGCACTGCCTCAGCTGGGTGGGGACAGGGATGTGGAGGTATCTGGAGAATTCATGGTCACTGAGGGCTCTTTGGCTTCCAGGCTAGAGAAGAAGAAAGGACAGATTATGGGGGCCGGGCTGGCCTGGAGATCATGGCCCTTGGGGCATCAGTGTGGGGTGGCCATTTTTATTTTGGGGACTAGGTGGTGTGCAGATGGCAATCTTCTCAGTTTAGTGTTAGCCAGAAACAAGACTGCAGCCTGGGGAGACATCTTGCTCACCTTGTCCAGGACACAGGCAGCAGCAAGGCCCACAGACACCTACTTGTACCCCTGAAGCATCAACTGCTTTGCAGTTCTGTTTCCTTCTCTGTGTATCCTCACATCGTCTTCCCTGTTTGTCTGTCATAATATCTTATAAGGACTCTGGTCAGACTGAATCAAGCCCTATCCATATGACACGATTTAACCTGAATCACCAATTTAAAGGCCCTATTTCCCATACAGTCACATTCTGAGATCCTGAGGGTTAGGACTTCAACACATGAATGGCAGGTGGCACAAGTCAGCCCACAACAGCATAGAACATGGCCAGTGCCCGATAAATCATAGCTTGTGGTACCTCTATATCTTGATCCCAAACTTCCACACATATTCAAACTGTGAACATGTTCCCGGTGCGCAGGAGCACGCAGCGCCTGCCCGTGAGACCAGTATTTGCCTAGTAAGGAGCCCTCATGCCAACTGGATCTTAGCACAAACGCCGCCACAGCTCTGAGAGCTCTGCTTGTCATCCAGGGGAGCCAGAATATATTTATGTGGATTTTTTTTTTCTTGAGTTCATTATCCAAATTAAAAAAAAAAAATGCTGGTAGAAACCACTTCCATCCAAGAGCTATCAGTTTGAAAACATATTCCTGCACAATAAAAACAGGTCCTCTACACTGCTGAGGTGAGACACTTCATTTCCCCAGATTTAGTTTTCTAACCAAAGAAAGTGATGAGATAGAGTATACTGAGGTAATTTTAAAATTTTGAATTACTTAATTAAAAGAAGTCATATAGAAGAAATCAAACTGTAATAGTAAATCTGCACGATCCCACCATCCTATCACAAACTGCTTTCATTTCTGCAGTTTTCTATACACACGTTTTTCATAGCTACACGTAAATAATTACATTACTTGTTTTTGTTCCATTTATTAGGGTAGAAACCACCAGCCTAGAGACCAGATGTAAAGACCCTTATAAAGTGCCAGAGTACAATTCAATTCACCCCTGTAACTGTGGAAAATGCAATTTAAATCTTAAGCAACAGTATTCTTTAAGGCCACAAGATGGAGGTGTTGCTCCTTAAAAATAAACCATTTTCCCAGGATAAGAGGACACAAGGGGTGGAGAAAGGGTATAAGAAGGCTTTAGAGTAATTCTATTTGGTTTACAAAAAAAAGTATTGTTAGAAAGTCTAGTTAGCACATTTAGCAAAGATGATCTTTTCTAGGCTAAAGAACTTTACATTTTCCCAAAAGACTAAGCTTGCCTTTTCTTCTATTTATTCTCCATTTGTCATGTATTTACTAACTTTTTTTGGCCTGTTCTTAACTTAAAAAGCAGGTGCTTTCTAGTCTGTTTTCAAAAAATTATATAAAAATGCACTAAAGCCAATCAGAAAATAACTTATCAAAATGTTAGCAGTGGTGGGAAAGAGGGACTTAATTTTTTTTTTACTAATTTTCTATTACTTCCCCCAAATAGTAATATGCATGAACTAATTTTACAATGAGAAAAGATTCAACATTTAAAAAATAAGATACAATTATGCAGATGGTAATTTTTTTATTAGTCCATTACTCAGAAAAAAAAGGTCCCCATTCTTATGTAACATGTCATACAAGAAAATAAAGATCAACATAAACAACCAGGATTAAAAAATGAATAAAATTAACTATATTAAAATACTGGTTTCAAATTTATAGACAGACACAGTGGAAGTTGACAGAGAAAAGGAGTGATCCAGAGACCTCTTGTGTGGAGAAAGAGAGACAGACAGGCAGAGAGAGAGAGAGAGAGAGAGAGAGAGAGAGAGAGAGAGAGAAGCAGGCTGACTGAATCAGAACACCCTACCCCTCTGGCCCCCATGTCCATGTCCAGCATTAAAATGACCTTCCCAGAGCCATGTCATTGGTCCTCAAGTTGGGATCTGAGACAGGACCTAAAATCCTATGGCATCAGTCCATACCTCGAGGCTCATTACCCAACAATCTCCCTTCCAAGTGTCACCATCATCTCTGCTCTGCCTCTGGGGAGACTGAGACTCGGGGACTTATGTAAGTAGCCCAGGATAGCAAAGGTAGTGGGAGTCAAAACTTGAACCCAGGTCTGGCTGGTCCAGAGCCAATGCTCCTTCCTCTGCCCTGAGCAGGTGAGGCTTAAAGTGAGAAACTCCAGTTACAGAGGAAACTGAGCTGCAGCCAGGACTTCAGAGTAAGTCCTCAGGATTTTAACCCAAAGAATAAAATATATATCCATAAGTCCACACTGATATAAATAATTGAATGCATAAATAAATGGGAAAGAAGGGACAAGTCATCCTTAAGAAGAATTCCAAACAGTAATCACTTCCCCTTTCAGGAGGTGAAGATTAAGTCCATCCCTTGATATGGGAAAAAGAATAGACTTTTCAACAAATGTTAAATGCTGGGACAAGTAGATATCCAATACAAAAGAATGAAGATGGACTCCCCTCCTCACAACATATACAAAAATTAACTCTAAATGGATTATAGACTTAATTGTAAGAACTAGTTATACAATTCTTTTAAAAGATAAGAGTAAATCTTCCTGACCTGGGATTAGGCAAAGCTTTCTTCGATATGACAATAAAAGTACAGGCAATCAAAGAAAGATAAATTGAAAAAAATTTAAAACTTTTGTGAGTCAAAGGACACGATCAAGAAAGTTAAAAGACAACCCATAGAATGGAAGAAAATTTTTGCAAATCATCTATTGATAAGGGACTTGTATCTGGAATTTGTACAGAATTCCAACTCAGTAATAAAAGGATAAATAACCCAATTTAAAAATGGGCAAAGGCCTTTCTCCAAAGAAGATACACAAATGGCTAGTGAGCACATGAGATGTTCAACATCATTACTCACGAGGGAAATGAAGAACAAAACCACAATGAGATACTACTTTACACCACTAGGATGCACAAATAAAAGAAATAAACAAAAGTGGGCGATAACAAGTGTTGGTGAGGATGAGGAAAAACTAGAACACTTATCCACTGTCTGTGGGGATGTAAATAGTGCAGTCACTTTGGAAAACAGTCCGGCAGTTCTCCAAAAGTTTAAACCCAGAGTTATCATATAACCTGGCAATTCTACCCTTAGGTGTATGACCAAGAGAAATGGAAACGTATGTCCATGTAAAAACTTGTACATGAATGTTCATAGCAGCATTATTTACAGTTGTCAATAAGTGGAAACAGCCCAAATATCCATCAATGAATGAATGGATAAATAAATGGAATATCTACACAGTGGAATATCATTTGGTAATCAAAAAATCCATGCTACGACATGAACCTTGAAAAGATTATGTGAAGTGAAGAAAGCAATTCACAGAAGACCACATATCATACGATTCTATTTATATGAAATTACCTGAACTCAAGAAAATCTATAGAGTGGAAAAATCCATAAAGACATTAAATAGATTTGTGGTTGTATAGGGCTGGGGGTGGGAAGGATGGGGAAGGGGAGAAAAGAGTGATTGCTGATGGATATGGGTTTTCTGGGGTGATGAAAATGTCTTTATTTATTTATTTATTTATTTAATTTATTTATTTATTTATTTTTATTTTTTTTTACGCCTACAGCACCTGGTATTCCTAGGTGGTCTCTCATCCAAGTACTAACCAGGCCCAACCCTACTTAGCTTCTGAGATCAGACGAGATCGGGCACATTCAGGGTGGCATGGCCATAGATTGAAAATGTTTTAAAACTGATTGTGGTGATGGTTGCACAAGTATGTGAATATATGAAAAGTCATTGATTTGTATAATGTGAGTGAATTGCAGGTATGTGAATTATCTCAATAAAACTGTTATAGTAAGAAAAAGGCAAATTAAGTCTACAACCTGTGATTCAACTTCAGCATACCTGGGGTTCTTGTTAAAAACACACTGTCCCAGTATTCCACCTTCAGGCTTCTTACTCAGAAGGTCAGGTGAGGGATCCCCAAATCTACATCTTTTCCTAGTACCCCATGTGATTCTGATAATTTGAGAAACTGTGACCATGTTTCAGGCCCTCTACTTGAGAAGTTTGTAATTTCTAGTTCATAGATTAACTGTTCTTCAGCCACTCCATGAACAGGAACAGGTCCCGGATCAATCTCTTTTCTGGATTCATCCTTAGCCTTCTAGCAATTTATTTTCTAAGTGTAAAGGGAAGAGTTGAAAGGCAGCTACTTTAAGCCAAATGTATATATTTTAAAAACTAAATTTTCACTCAATAAAAGTTAATTAAATGGACAGATTCTTTAAAAGTGAAGCAAAAATGAATTAAAAAGATCAAAAGTCTTAACAGTTACCTTACTTCGCTCGGTTTACACCCTCCTTCTAACTCTGCAGTCTGGTGGTTTGATATTGCTATGGCCTCCAGTCACCCACTTATCCCAACCAGCTGTCATGACACTGATCTGCACAAAGGAGACCCAGAATGTAAAGATGGCTCACTGTAAGCCCCAAATCACACAATGTTAAGAACTGGCAGGAGCCTCTCAGACATCATCAGGTCTTTGAGAATAATGCCTCCCCCACCCCCACTCCCAGATGTCCAGGTCCTAATTCCTGGAACCTGTGAATAGGTTACCTTACATGGCAAAGGGGAATTAAGGTTGCAGATGGAACAAAAGTTAATAGATTAGCTTGGATTATCCAGGTGGGTCCAATCACAATCACAAGGGTCCTAAAAAGCAGAAGAGGGAGGCAGAAAAGAAAGATGTGCTGATGGAAGCAGGGTGAGAGAGATGCGATGTTGCTTACTGTAAAGATGGAGGGAGGGGGCCATGAGTCAAGGAATGCTGGAGGCCTCTAAAAGCTGAAAAAGACAGAGATTGCCTCTCTTAGAGCCCCCAGGAAGAAATATATTCAGTCCCTGCCCACACTTTGATTTTAACCTAGTGAGACCAATATTAGATGTCTGAACTCCAGAACTGTAAGATTGTTACAAATCTGTGTTGTTTTCAGTCACTAAATTTGTGGTAATTTCTTATTGCAGCAATAGGAAACTAAAATGAAGTGAGTCTCTTATTGATGAAGTCCTGAAAGCCCAGAGCTCTGCCTGGTGGCTGATGATGGGATCAGCAGAATTACCTTCATACATATGAAAGAGAAATACCATCAACCTTCACCAACACCTGTGTCCTCAGCCCTGAGGGCAAACCCCATAGTACCCTGAGTCTGTTTGTAATGAGAATAGTGGTAAATTTAGCAGGGGTTCTTAATAGCAGGTAGGTGAAGGGTTAAGTGAGTGTTTTTAAAAGGTCAGTGATACTGACAGCTATCACGACCCGCCAAAATCACTGTCCCACGCGGTCAATGGAGGGCTGTGATTGGATCGCTAGTGGGATGATGGGCCCACTTAGCTGTGCAGATAGGTACACATCCTTACAGAGAGATTGTCAAAGCAACAGTGACCCAATGATACTCTAAACTATGCAGGGAAGAGCTTCTCCAAAGTGGGAATTTCATGTAATGGCACCTCGTTTCCCCTAATCGCCATGGCTCATAATCTTAGTTACTTTTATTCTTCCTTACCCACTGCAATTTGTCATCAGACCTGTCTATGCTGCGCCCAAATGGACACAGCTTCCCCGCCCCATCCTCTCCCGTCATTACCATCGCTTCCTGACCAAGCCTGGCAGCCTCCCTCACCCCAGTATCTCACACTTCTGACTGCCATTCCTGCGAGGACATCTAGAACCACAAGGGTGGGACGGGGCTGGGGATAGGTGCAAGGAAGGAGGCAGTACTGGGTGGGGTGAAGGGAAGGCAGGCCAATGAGGGGATCCCTGATTCGGGGTGTCTTTCGGGGTTCAGTCCTGGGGTCCAATGGATTGGGGGAAAGAGGGGCGAAGGAAAAAGAGGCGAATCTCTGATGAAGGACAAGGAGGCAGCCTGAGAGCCAGGGACGCAGAGCCGGAGAGAACCCCCAGCATCAGCAGCCCTTGGAACCCTTGGGAAAGCCCGGCTGGGGGGTGCGTCCACACCATGGAAACTGGGACCCTCCCCGACCCGCTGGGGCCCGTCCTCACCGGGCACCAGCCGGGCGGCGACGGCAGCGGGGCCCTCCCTCTCCGGCGACCAAGGCGCGAAAGGTCCCCTCAGCTTCTTTGCCTGGGGCCCCCGCCTCGGTTCGGGCCGTCACCTCAAGCTAGGGTCACGGAGCAAGCATGCGCAGTAGTGCCACAGACGCCCATTCCTTGGGAACACTCCTCTTTTCCAGGTTTTCCCGGCGCGGCGCCTAAGTGGCGACCCGACCAATCGGCGCGCGGGGGCGGGGCGTCCGCGATTCTGAGGCCCGGATTCCATTCCCCGGCCGGGCTCTCCCAGCGCAAGCGGTGGGTTTAACTGGAGCCCCTGGGCGTCCACCAGAGTCTGACTCCGACTCCCCACGGAGGAATCCGAGGCATTTGTTTAAAGGTCTCGTTCGCCCGCAGTCTCTTCCCTGAGCGAGCGGAGGGAAGATCTCTCTTTCTACTCATTGAAGCCATTGGCCCAGCATTTTGACTGCGCAGCATCTTCGCGGTTGGTCTCTCCCTCGCCCATCAGTCCCGCCCTCGCCGTTGGTCCAGCCCTCGTCCATTAGTCCAGCGATTGCCCATAGATCCAGTCCCTACTTACAGAGCACCAGTACTGAACCCTTTTTATTCTCCGACCATCCTGTGCGGTGGTCAGGGAGCTGCTAGGCCTTGGCGCAGCTTTCTTGGACACTTGGTAGGTCGCGGCCAGAATGGCCCCAGCATTATCTGAGCTGACGCCCGCGTTGCCCCTCAGGGGCCTTCCGCTCACCAGTCCTCCCCAGTCCGCAGGACCCCTTTATCCACCTGCCCCACCTTTGCCCCGCGGAGCCCCGGGTCTTCTGGGTGCGCGTCCTCGGCGTTTGCAGAGTAAAGACACTGCTCTTCTGTAGGAACTCCATGTTTCTCCTGACACCCCACCCCTCCGCCTCCGTCTGGTCTCTCTAAAGCTGCTGCTGGAAGCGTCCCCTGGCTCCGGACAGGTGCAGGTCCAACTCCTATGGGGCCCGCCTGCCTGGACCTCCGGCATTTCTCACGTTTTCCTCTGCATCCTCTGTGTCCTTCCGTTCTCCCACGTCCTCTCACAGTTTCCTCCTCATGTCTAAATATCAACAGGGCTCGCACACACTTCCAGAAAGGCTCCCTGCTTCCTCCCGGCCCTTTCTCAGCAGATCTTCCTTACTACCTTAGGCTCCATGTACTCGATTGTCCCCGAGTGTTTTCTCCTAAGGTCATGTCATTTCCTGGACATTCTCCAGTGTCGTTCAAAGGCCTTCATGAATGTATTTGCCATTATCTATTCATCATCCACCGACTACAGGTTGTTTCTAATTTTATTACGTTGTAAGTATCTTTGTACTTACATTTCTGACATCTCTGTTCTCTTTTAAAAAATTACTAAAAGTTTAAAGAAGGCGAATATTTTAAAGGCTTTTAAAACATGTTACCAAAGGAAATGCATAAGCTTGGGTTCAGATGCCTGGGCTCAAATCCCAGCTCTGGCATTTGCTAGCTGTATGACGAGCAATTACTTCCCCTCTCTTTTTTCATCTGGTAAATTGGGATACTAATAGCCCCCACCTACCAGAGGCATTGTGAAAATTCAGAGTATTATCATGTGGATCTTGGGTTTTAACGTTATATTCCTCCGTCCAGCAGTTCTCAAACTTTTTGGCCTCAGAACCCTTTACACTCTAAATTATTAAGCAGCTCAAGAGCTTTTGGTTATGTGGGTCACATCTATCAGTATTTACCATTTTATAAATTTAAGTTGAGAATTTAAAATAGCAATAATAAGTTCACTGTATAACTATATCTTCAAACCAAAAAGCGAGTGAGAAGAGTAGCAGTGTTCTATATTTTTGAAAATCTCTTTAATAACTGGTTTACAACAGCTATATTCTCATATATGCCTCTGCCTTTGCTCCATTGCAATATGTTGTTTTGGTTGAAGCATGTGAAGAAAATCCAGCCCCACATAGATAAGTAATTGGAAAAGAAGTATTTTAATATCCTTTAATTGCGAATATTCTTCTTTTATACTACACCAACACTCAACTAGTGGTACTTGCAATGTGAAGTCTGAAATGACATCAGTGCTCTCTTTGTATTCTATTTCATTACAATCCATTGGTCTATTTGGACTTCGAAAGGATCTTGTACCCACATGTACTTTTGTAACATCATGCATTGGTCTTTTAGAAAATATTGGTTCATCGACTTATGCAGATCTTGAAAATGTTGATCCATTTTATTATACAATATAAAAATATAACATTAATATTGCCACCAATCTCATCACAAAAGTCTTACAATATTGGGAAGCTGTGAAGCTAAAGGTGGCAGATAAAAGTTTTCCAAATTTTTAGTTTTTGCTGGAAGGCTAGATAGAATTTTTATCATTGGCAACAAATCCTGCCAGTTGTTTTCCTTGCAGTAACACTTTGTTCATTTTTAAGAAAATGTTTGCCAATTACCAAAGTCTGAATAACTACAGTTTGGTTATTTTTTCAAGTAAAAATAGTGTTCCATGACAAAAGCAGCTAGTTCATCTTGCAACTCAAATAATTGCACACACCCTTTTCCTTGAGTAAACAATGGTATGCAGTGGAAGCGCTTTATGAGTATGTCTCACTTCCCACTTCAACTAACAGAATATTAAAAAGATGTGTGTCAAAGGACAAATATTTAATAAAATTTATAATTCTTTTTCTGCTCATCAAGGATTGTCTTAAGTGAGAGTTGTTTTTCCTTCTGCCAGTGTAGGGTGGTGAAGAATACAATGACAACTAGTGAATTTGGTGTCACTGCCTTTATTCATACTAAGAAAGAGCCATTGCTTTTGCACCACCATTGCTTTTGCACCATCAGTTCAGTCAACACAGTGAAAGAAGTAAACTGTTGTTTTCTCAGCATTACTATGAAAATAATCACAGACCTCCTGAAAGGTGTTTGAGAACCCCCAAGGGTCACCAGGCCACATTCTGAGAACTGCTGTGTTATCCATTTTTCTATTGGATTGTTGATCTTTTTCTTACCAATTTAAGAAGTATTTTTTATTAAACTCAGATTAATTCTAACATTCCACATATGATGGAAATAGCATTTGTATTTGTGGAGGGGCAGGGAAATAGGTATATGTATTGGTAGAGTTGAATCTAATGGTATTTTCCAGTTCGAGTTTCCTCATTTTGAAAAAAAAATTGTTCTTAGCAAATTCTTCCCATACTGACTTGAATAAATATTTGATATTTTCTGTATTAGTTTTTCAGAGATGCCAAACAAGTACCACAAACAGGGGACTTAAACAGTGGAAATGTATTGTCCTGTAGTGCTGGAGGCCAGAAGTCTGAGATCAAGGTGTCAACAGAGTTGGTTCCTTCTGAGGGCTCCATGCCTCTCTCGTTGGCTTATAGATGCATCACCTCGATCTCTGCTTTTATGGTCACATGGCATTCTCCCTCTGTGCATGTGTGTGCATGTGTCCAAAGTTCACCTTTTTATAAGGACACCTGTCCTATTGGATCAAGGTCTGCCCTAGTGACCTCATCTTAACTTGATCATCTGCATAGATTTTGTTTCCAAGTAAGGTCCCATTCACAGGCACTGGGGAATCAAGACTTCATCTTTTTGGGGGAACACGATTAAACCCATAACATTTGCCTTTGCTTTTTTCTACTAGTTTGATGATATCTCATTTTCCATTTGTCTCATGTTTCGGAATTTATTTAACAAGTATCTATCCAGTAGGTACTCAGCACTGTGAACTTAGGAACTTCAGCAAACAAAACAAAGATTATGCCCTCTAGGTGTTTACATTCCAGGCAGTTGCGGAAACCTAATAAAATAGATATAATAAGTAGTTAAGTTGTATAGTTTGTTTAAAGGTAAGTGCTGAGAGAACTTTTTATATGATGGAAACGTTCCTCATCTTGATTGGTGTGGCGGTTACATATGGCAAAACACATCCATCAAAATGTACACTTCAAAAGGGCAAATTTTATTCTATGTGAAATACATTTCAAGAAAGTTGATTTTGTGAAAAGTGTTATTAAAAAAAAAAGGAAACAGGAAAGGAAATTGAATGGGAGCCTGCAATTAATATTGCAATTTACATCGGAAGTTGGGGTGGAGTAAGGCTCTCACATCCTCCGGGTAGCGGGCCATCTGCCGGTCAATCGCTCCCCACCCTCCACCACTACAGAGGGCACCTTAGAGCCGGTGCGCAGCCCTCAAACGTCCTGGGTCTGCCGAGCAGGACAGACTGAGACAGAACTGCACTCCTGGCGGCTTTCAGAGCGCGGTTATTGGGGAGGAGCCAAGGCCGCCACTGTGTCCGCTCGCGCCCCCTCCCGGCTGCCAGGAGCATCAACAGAACTTCAGTCACAAAGTCTCCGCTGGAGGGAGATGTGAGACTACGACATGCAATCCACCTTCACCAGGAAAAACACAAAGGTCGCATGCACAAGGGTAAAACTTTGTTTTGTTTGCCTGCTCCTCACCGTCCCCCCCTCCCGCCCCCGTTTCCGAATAATCAAACCTCCTGTTTATCGTTCGACTTCGTTGTTTCATCGCAATTTCACTCGGCCTATCCTGAGGTGACAGAGATTTAGCCACAGGGCCTTTGGAATTATTTATAACAGCGAAACAAATATAAAAGGACTCAAATAGCCACCAAATGATAAACAAATGTGGTCTATCTCTACAATGCAATATTATTCAGCCCTAATAAGGAACAAAGTACAGATACACGCTACATGAGTAAACCTGAGTTCATATAACATGCTGGATGGAAGAAGTTAGACACAAAAAGACCACGTTTTATCTAAGTGCTCTTATTTGAAATGTCCAGATTAGTCAAATCCATAGAGATAGAAAGAAAGTTAGTGGTTGCCAGGGGCCAGGGAGTCTGGAGATAAAGGGAGAGTGATTGTTGATGGGTGCAAGATTTCTGTTTGGGGTGATGAAAATATTCTGGAATTAGATAATGATAATGGTTGCACAACCTTGTAAGTATATTAAGAGCCACAGAACTGTACACTCTAAAATAGTGAATTTTGTAGCATGTGAATTAAATCTCAGTTACAGAAAATGAAGGATCAAGTGACAGGTGTATTAGAATTGCTCCATCATAAATTGTATATCCATAATTTTGTTTTAAATACCCAAAGCAAAACTAAAATATCTTTTGTTCCTTGATTCTAGACATGCATTTTCTGCGTATTTTCATAACCTCTTTCACACTAAAATTGCTAATTGTTTAAATAATACTTGTAAAGATCACTGAGATATATTTTCTGTTGATCCTGACCTCACTGGATTCAGGCTCCACTGTGTGCTCATTTTTCAATCAGATGGTGTAAGTGTTGAAAAGTTGTGACCTTTGCATAGGTGAAGAAGGAATGCGCACTCCAGTGGGTGTGCCGTCAGAATCAGGTTACAAATATGCCTTTATTTCAGGCATATATATCCACATGAGGTGGTTCTCATTCCTAAAGTATTCAGTTTCAGCCCTGGGTTAAAAATAGCTTGAATCTTTTTTTTTAATAGCTTGAAATTGAAGCCAAACTATTGTTGATGTGCAAGCTGGCAGATGAGGCCACACATCATCCAATTCTCTGGTTCATATTTTTAAAATAAAGTAGGACTGATGAAAATTTGGATCATATATACATTTTAAATTACTAATGGCTAAAAAATATTCTAATTGGTTGTCACTGACTGGAGGAGACTAAGGAGCCATGACAAATAAATACAATTGAGATCTTAGATTAGATCCTGAGCCAGAAGAAGACATTAGAAAAATCTGGTGAGATTTGAACAAGTTTGGGATTTTAGGAGTGTAGTTAATGAGATTGTATTAATGTTCATTTCTATGATGAGTTATTACAGTTATATAAGATGGTAACAGGGAAAGCTGGATGAAGAATATATTGGAAATCTCTATATTTTTTAGGCAACTTTTCTGTAAATTTAAAATTATTTCAAAATAAAAAGTTTTAAAAATTCTAGTTTGTGGTTAGAAAGAGATTTCTTTTCTATACTTTGTCAGATAAATATACACATTTATAGTATGATCTCCCTTGTGTATAAGAAAATGTACAATTGTGTACATTTCCAAATGTATCTCAAGGAGATACATTTAAGTCCTAACCCCCAGTAGCTGTGAATGTGATCTTATTTGGAAACAGGGTCTTTGCAGATATAATTAGTTAAGGATCTCAAGATGAAATCATCATGGATTGAGGGTGGGCCCTCAATCCAATGACAGTTGTCTTTATAAGGAAGGAAAGAGAGATGGGGATTCAGACACACAGAGAGACAGAGAAGAGGCCATATGATGATAGAGGCAGAGATTGGAGTAACATGTAAGCTAAGGAAATCCAGGAGCCACCAAAAGCTGGAAGAAGCAGGGAAAGATCATCCCCTAGATAGAGGCTTCTGGGGGAGAGACACCTTGATTTGGGACTGCAGAACTGAGAGAATTTAAAATTCTGTTGTTTTGAACCACACAGTTGTGGTGATTTCTTACAACAGCCCCAGGGGACTAATATACTTATTTGCATTGTCTTTGTACTGAAAACATCTGGAGGGACAAGGTCCAGTCCATAAGAAGTGAGGACTATAACTGGGGGTAATGAGATAGATTGTGCTTTTACTTTACAGTTTACTTTGTAATTTTCTCTTCTGTGTAAAATGTTTATAGGATCTACTTTTTTGGCAAAAGGATGATTTCATCTATTAAACTGCTAAGACCTACACACACAAAATTAAAGGGAGTCTTTTTGCTATTTTAACTATATTTAAGTGTATGATTCAGTGGCACTAATTACATTCACAATGTTGTTCAGTTATCTCCAATGTCTCTTTCCAAAACTTTTTCACCACCCCAAACAGAAACTCTACCAAATAAGCAATCATTCTCATTCCTCCCTCCCCTCAGCCATAGAACTGCAAGATAATAAATTTGTATTGTCTTTCCTAATTTGTTATGGCAGCAATAGGTAGCTAATTTAACCTCATTGATTCATCCATTGATTCATTCATTCCTAATATTTATGAAACACCTGCCTTGGGAATAAACATAAATCCCTGCTCTCCTGGACAGTGAGATAGTGCCTCTGTAGTGTGATGGTGACAAGGTTGGGAGGGTCAAGTTGTGAGGGAAGTCAGGGAAGGGTACAAGCAGTACTGATTTGTTATTCTCTGCTGATTCATTATTCTATACTAAAGCAGATGTAGGATCTCATTACATTTCCCCAACAGCCCATGAGAGAGCTGGGTTGTGATTCTCACTATACAGACAGGCCCAGGGAGGTAAAGTAACTTGCCCAAGGTCACACAGTAAGTTACAGAACTGGAATTTGAACTGGTGCTGTAATGCCTCCCTATGGCTGCCAGGCACCTACCTGCTTGTTTCTGCCCAGCCTGAGCAGTGGATGGCCAGGTGCCACCACAGAGCTCTCATAGTTGTGGTCCCATAGCTATGTTTATGTAGATTCTTCTGTGGTCCTTGGGTGCCCAGCAGGCCTAGAGTTGCCATGACTGATAATTTGTCGTGGATTCACCTCTGGGAGTGGAGCAAAGAGGGTCATTAGGGGAGCTGGCAGGGCAGTGCCTGAGAGGCCGTGGGGAGAGGGGTGAGAGGTAAGGGACCTGGGCAGGTTGACCATTCTCACAGGTGCTCAGGTAGTATGCCCATCTTGGAGCGATGTCCCCAGGCTCAGAGTCAGTCTTTGCTTAGGCAGAACCAGCCCCTCAGCTTCTTTAGGGCCCCTGAGGGATGTGAGCTGTGAAGTAGCATCATCAGCAAACAGTGATAGATAAGTTCAAGGAGATATATGCTACAGAGGCAGCTGGATGTTTAGTCTTTGTCCTCCAGGAACACCCAGCCTTGTCTCTCAGGCCTAGGTCTCCTCTTGTCTTCAGCCAAGCCTTGGTCTCCATCTCTTCTCTCTTCTCCTACCCACCACAGGGCCCCATGTCCCCTTTTGGCTGCAGACTCCACTTCATGTCCCTTTCCTTAGTTGACCCTGGCCTAATCCTAAGCAGTTTTTATATTTTTGCTTTGTACTTTGAATGCAATTCTTCCTTTTCAGGATTGCTGCTGGGAGAGTTGAATGTTCTAGAATATCACATAGCACAGCTGTTGGGGCCAGAACCTAGAGGTGACTTGGAAGCCCTGTGTCCAGAATTTTGGACCCTGGTAGACCCCCCTGGTCCCTGTGAGCCCCTGCTACATGCTCAGGCCTAACCTGGCCCCTGGGAGGACAGCAGCAGGCCAGGGGAAGGGACTCCGGACATCTAGATGCTAGGTTCGCTATTGGCTGTTATGACTGGGATGGGGTGGCAATATGGGAAGGGAAAGTAGCTAGACCATATGACAAGAGAATGCTGCCCCCAATCCTTGCAAACACTGTCCCAGGAAAGCAGACCACAGCCTCTGCAGCAATGGCCCAGTTGGTCAGGACTCCGCCAGTAACCATAGCTTCTCTATTTTTTTGCCCCTGCTTCCAATTCAGGACCAACAGAGAAATTCCAAAGGGCTCCCCAAACCAATCACATAGAATGCACATTCACTTCCAGTCAGCCTTTCAGCCTCCAATCAGGGCAGACCCAAGCCAGCCCTGTTTTTCCACTGTGAAATTTTCTCACTCCTCTGGATCCAAGTGACATGGCTGACTCTTTCGCTATAGCCCATCTGGGCAGAGGGGACAGAACTGTGGAGAGTACCAACCTGAGGCTGGAGCCCCACCTGGCAGGCGCAGAGAGCTAGAAACCGCTGGATTAGCTGTGTCAGCATGTGGAAGGGCAGGTTTTATCCTGAGGACAGTGTGTTGGCGGGGGAGGGGAGGTGTCATTGGACTGAAAATGATGAAAGCTGTGACAACTGGAAAAGAGATCACCATGTAAAGGTGATGGTGGCCTTGACCATGCTGGAGGTCCCACCTCCCCGTTTCAGGACAAGGGCACTAGGAAGGGGAAACCTCAGGGATCCCATCTAGTCGTTATGCTAGTGGCTGTTTTTCCAGGCTGAGGAGGCCAGAGCTATGGGGTCCTATGACATAATAAGAAATATACATTTGGTTTCTGCTTGTGGTTGTTAACACAGAGCTCCTAAAATTCCTGTAATTTTCTGAGTGATAGGGGTGCTAGGAGCAGCTTTTGTTCTAATACTTTGTCTTTGGCCCCAGATGCTGACACAGTTTTTAATTGTCTTGGAATTTCTCAAGTGGTAGGAGTATCTTTTGTTCTAACGTGGCGACGCTGGGCCAGCTCCTGAATGGAGGCTGGTCACCAGAAAAACCGATTGGAACTTTCAACTCTATCCTCCAGGGAGAAGAGAGGGGCTAGAGATTAAGTTAATGATTGATAGAGCTCATGTGACAAATCCTCCATAAAAATTCTTGAACGCATTCCCGTTGGTGAGCGTACCTGGAAAGGGCATGGAAGCTCCTTGCCCCTTCCCCCATACCTTGCCCTATGCATCTCTTCCATTTGGTTGTTTCTGAGTAGTATTCTTTATAGTAAACTGGTGATCTAGTAAGTGAACTATTTTCCTGGGTTCTGTGAGCCCTTCCAGCAAACTACTGAACCCAAGGAGGGGTTGTGGGAACCTCTGATCTGTAGCCAAGTTGGACAGAAGCTTGTGGGTAACCTGGGACCCACTACCTGTGATTGGTGTCTGAAATGAGGGCAGTCTTGTGGGATTGAGCTCTTAACCTGTGGAGTCTGTGGTAACTCCTGTTAGTGTTAGAATTGAGTTAAATCAGAGGAAACCAAATTGTTGTCCACAGAGAACTGGAGAATTGCTTGGTGTGGAAAATGCCACACATCTGGTGTCGGAAGTGTTGGTGTGTGATTTCAAGTGTTGCAGAAGAGAACCGTTTTCTCTTTTTAGGCCTGGAGGAGGGTCCATAAGAGCCACTCTGAGTCTGAGAGATGGACCAGGCCAAGCAGGGGATGGTTGGGTGGGGAGGTCCCAAGGCTGAAGGCACTGGCACTGGGTCTCAAAGGACCCAGAATCCTAGGATTCAGAGCCTGGTTATTGAAGAATTAGGCACACATTATGCACTCAATAAATGTGTATTCAATTAATTTTTATTTTGCCCAAAAGTTGACTTTGTTCACAAAATGTGAACGCCGTGTGGCATGTTGCTTCACAACATTCTCTAGGAAGGTGGAGCCTCCCCTGTCTGCTAAAGGGACTGGAGAGGATTTCTATCAATCCATTTTACCATGCTTTGTTCATTTTCCTCTGCAAGAGAAGAGGGACAGGGTCAGGCAGTGTCCAGAGCAGACATGACGATGACAGGAGGGTATGGGTGGCTGGTTGGGAGGGGCTGCCAGGCCTCCAGGCCAGTGGAGGACCCCACTATCTTCTCCAACCATTCCCAGACCTCCCTCTTACTCATGCATCTATCCCCCATCCCTGGCCAGCTCAGACCTCCCCAGGTACTAATCCCAGGTCTGCTCTGACCTTATTCGAGGAGTATAAGGTGATCCCTGAGATGGCAACGATACCAATGCCCAAGACCACAGCAGCAGGCCACACTGCAGACCCTGTGGCCAGTAATTTCAGAGAAAATTTGGCCGCTGTCTATACAGAAGAAAAATGGGGCAGGGTGACCTCAGTGATTCCAGGCTTACACCACAGGATGATGGGGATGGGGACGGGGCAGGAAGCAGAACAAATACAGGGACACTAGAGATGAGCTTAGTGGGAAGAATGGGCCCCAAGGCAGATGCTGGCCCCGCTCCAGCCTCAGGGTAGTCCCTTGGCTACTCTAGGCCCTGCCTCTTCACAGGTCATGGGCACCTTCCACCCCCTGGGCTGGCAGGAGAAAGCAGATGGACATGTGGAGGCACCTGGAGCAGGATTGGCCGGTGGAAGTGTTCACGCAGTGAGCCGGCCATGCTGCAGAGGGGCCTCCAGGCTCTGAGGGATGGGGTCTCTCTGAGTCCTCCAGCATGGCTCTGGCCAGGTCTCGGACCCTCAGTAGGGGGTGGAGGCTGAGGGGTCCCTTGGGTCCCCGGAGAACTCCTGGCCTATAGCTTGCGATGTCTTGGGATTTCAGCTTGAGGGAAGCAGTGGGCCCCCTTCATAGGCCTCTGAGGCCGTTAGCCATGCTGGGTGTACCCTGTCTATGGGGGGAAATGACCGGGGTCCTGTTCTTATCCCAGTCGCTGGTGACTAGACATGGTCAGGCCTGGCTAATTGCAAGGGGGACAGATCTTGACTTACCGCGGTGAAAAGGAACACAGACGCTGTTTTTTCCACCATCTTCTCAAGGAATCAGAACTCAACCCTGTGGAGAAAACATCCCAAATCATCTTCCTTCAAACTCCAATTCCCCTGGGGCCTCTGGGATCTGCTCTCCAAAGGCTGAGACCAGGTCTCAGTCTCACAGGGACCCTGCCTGGTGGGGTCACCTGGACAAGAGACCTGAGTGTTGAATCCCATGAAACCTGCAGGGTTGCCTGATCCCATTCTCTGGGAGTCTGTAGAGATCTCAGGACCCCACTCTGCCTGCGGCTTAGGATTTGCCTGGAGAAAGAGCTCGCCGTTCCCTCAGGTCTCTGGGCTGAGGGCCCATTGACTCCAGGCTCCCTCGCCCTGCGAGGCCACCTTCCCCAGCTCCTTGCCCACAGGGCCCCTTGCTGCTCTCAGGCCTGAAAACACCAGGGACCCTCACAGAGGGTCCTTGCTCTGCCTGGCCTGGAGGGAAGATGACAGAAGACGGATACGGTTCAGAGGAGGGAGATCAGTCTGACCCACTTCATCCTGCTCGGCCAGTGGCTGTCCAGCTCCTGTCTTTGCCTCTTTTAGAATATAGCTGTGGCTAGACTCTTCCCAGGGTCCCTTTGGGCCCATGGATGGAGACCACTTCCCATGGGGTCAGCCCTCATGTCTTCCTGTCCTCTAACCTACCTTGGGAAACTGTCCTGAGGGAGCTCCAGCCCAGCCCTCTCCCCTTTGCCCCCTCCTTCTGCCCATCCTCCTCAGCACCCTCCAGCTGCGCCCCCCCCATACCTTGCATCCCCAAGCTTGACCCCTCTCCTCTGCTCCCTGGGTCATATGGGTACACTCACCAGCAGGCCCCTGCCTCCACTTCCCTGTCCACCAGGCTATTTCATCTGGCTGCTCAGAATCCTGACATCCCACCCACCTACTCATCCAACTCACTGCTCCTAATAGGATCTTTGGGTCCCGAGAACCTGCTGTGGGACAAGCCTGGGGAGAACCTAAGGGGGATGGTCCTCTGGCAGGTGACAGTGGGGTGAGGAGATTGGGCCACCAAAGGATTTCTGGGTGCAGAGAAAGGAGTAACTGGGGCCCTCAACCCACTGACACTTCCTGCCTAATTCCCCCATCCCTCAGCCAATTCAAAGACACACATTTCAAGGCCAGAATGTCCTGGCTGACCCTGGCCCTCACCCTTTGTCTCCTGTTGCCCTTCTAGAAGGAAGGTCTGATTTCTGTATGCGAATCATTTCTCTATTCCACCTAGGCCCTCCTTGGCTGAGGACCCCATTATATAAGGCTAAGCCAGCTGTGCCTGCTGTCCCAGATAACAAACCTGTTACAACCCCGTATCTTGATGGAGCAGCTCTCCCACCCTGGCCTTCTGCTAGTCACCTTGGAAAGGAGGCCAAACTCTCTCCTCGAGGCTTTCTTAGACTCTGGCTGTCCCAGATTCGGGAATAGACTTAAAGAGTTTGTTTCTTTGCTCAGACCCCGCCCCCACGAATGACTTCTTAGAAAAGAAGTAGTTTCACTGAAATCACGTGACATTTTCCTGACGTTATTATGGTTGTTTCATTTTCACTTTCTTGGAGGGCAAAGTAAGTTTTGTGAGACAAGTAAGGACAATGGGATGAGGGAGAGAAGGAGAGAAATAGTGTGTGAGTTGGCTTCCCACATGGCTAGTAGAGAAAGAACATAGGTGAAGCCCCAGATAGCAGGGGCAGTGCCAGGGGGCCGCAGGAAGTGGGGCTGAAGACTCTGTAATTCTAAACCATCTGTGTAAACACAGCTTCAGGTCCAGCCCCTGTGTTCAGTCCCCGCCCCATAGTCTGCAGTCCCTTCCCTGTACGCATAATCCTTTGAACTAACATTTTTTGGCAGGAGACTCTTCTCCTGGAGGCTCACAGCTGGAGGCTTCAGTCCTGGGAGACTTCCTGGGGCAGGTGACACTTGAGCCTGGGAAGGCAGTGACCAAGGAGCAGTCTGGAGAAAGGCCAACAGGAGGGAGCCTGAAGGCTCCTGGGAACAGGTCTGGCAGGGGAGGGTCAGGAGGGGCCAGGGTTCCTGATACATACAAAATGCCACTCAACCTCACCACCTGTCACCTGTACATTCAGGTTTCAGGGGAATTCAACACTCAGGTCTCTTGTCCAGGTGACCCTACCAGGCAGGGTCCCTGTGAGGTTGAGCTCATCTCTAGTGTCCCTGTATTTGTTCTGCTTCCTGCCCCGTCCCCACCCCCATCATCCTGTGGTGTAAGCCTGGAATCACTGAGGTCACCCTGCCCCATTTTTCTTCTGTATAGACAGCGGCCAAATTTTCTCTGAAATTACTGGCCACAGGGTCTGCAGTGTGGCCTGCTGCTGTGGTCTTGGGCATTGGTATCGTTGCCATCTCAGGGATCACCTTATACTCCTCGAATAAGGTCAGAGCAGACCTGGGATTAGTACCTGGGGAGCTGGCTGGGGATGGGGGATAGATGCATGAGTAAGAGGGAGGTCTGGGAATGGTTGGAGAAGATAGTGGGGTCCTCCACTGGCCTGGAGGCCTGGCAGCCCCTCCCAACCAGCCACCCATACCCTCCTGTCATCGTCATGTCTGCTCTGGACACTGCCTGACCCTGCCCCTCTTCTCTTGCAGAGGAAAATGAACTGAGAATGGTAAATCGGATTGACAGAAATCCTCCCCATTGCAGCTCCAGAGGCATCTGCAGGGCTGAAGGGTCCAGCTATTTGGGAGAGTGCCGCTTCATATTTTATAATTTTATAATATTTTAAATGATGAGACTTTGGTTGATTGACCTTTTACTTTTCAGCAGCCTCCTCCTCCCCTGCCAGTATTTTTAAATAAAAAGTGCCAAGCTTGGCAGACATAATTCATCTGAAACAAAACTTCAACTGCTAACCTCTCCAGAGACTAAGTAAATAATCCTAAGAAAATAAAGATAGTGCTTTAAAAGCTTTAAAAGCCCTTAAATTACAGAGAGCATCCATCCTGAGAAGGAAGGAGTTGGGAAGACAGTGCCAACCTGGGCCAGGGCTGCACAAAAGTCACTGAGTGTGGCAAAGGAAACAATGCTCACAAAGGCACAGACTGGAGACAGTCCCTGTTGCTTAGGAGAAGGCCTTCCCTTATTGGGCTCCTTCCTGGGCACAGGAACAGAGGCATCCTCCAGGAGCTCTATCCGAGGCGTCTTTGGGGGCAAATGCTCTGCTTGCCAGGAACTCTGCCCCACCTGTGCTGAGGCTGCCTGGTCCCGGGCAGGCCACTGAGGCCACAGAGGCCTGGCCAGGACTGTGCTTACAGGCCTGTGGGTGGGGGCAGGCTGGGGCTAGGCCTCCAGATAAAAAGGTGACATTGAAAACCTTCACAGGCAGCCAAGGGCACTACATTATCAGCCCTGGGAGCTGCCCTTCTACTGGAGTCTGGTCTTCTTCTAGGGGGTGGTGGGATCCTTTTCCAGATACCCCTTCTCCCCTTACAGTCCCCCTAGCTGGCTGCTTCCATGATTGGTAATTGCCTTTTTATTTTTATTTTTTTCTGGTTTGTCTTACCTCACTGGAATGGCAGCTCCAGGATTCCCAGGTCCAGGAATCAAAGGGTGGAAATGAGAGCAGCTGCACTTACCCCTACCCCAGGGGTCACCAGTACTAGTTCAGCTTCGCAGAGGCTTCAGTTCCAGAGGAGGAGTGCTTCTACTGGGGCCCTGCGACAAGGCCACAGAACCCAAGGTTGAAGGCAGAGGCCAGGCCTGTATTTTTAAAAAACAAACAATGGCAGGTGTGCACTTGTATACTGAGAGTGGAATGAAAAGTGACAACAAAAAGGCCATTTTCTAGGAGACCCAGTTAAGGAGTTTTAGATTTTGAAAGATCTTGAAGGCATTTGGAAGAGTTTTAAACATTTAGGAGGTTCCATTTTAGAAATATTACTCTAATGAGATAGACACAAATGTTAACAGTGGTTGTCTCTGGGAGATAGAATTGCCTGTGTACATTTTTTAAACCATTTTTTCCTTTTCTGTCCACTTATCTGCATTTTCTCATGTTTTCCACCATGGACATGGCTTACCTGAATGTATTAGTCTCCTGGGACCGCCATAACAAAGGACTGCAAACTGGGTGACTTAAAACAACAGGAATTTATTCTCTCCTAGTTCTGGAGGCCTGTAGTCCAAAATCAAGGTGTCTCAGGTCCATGCTCCCTCCCGAGGCTTGAGGAGAGGATCCTTCCTGCCTCTTCAAGTTTCTGGTAGCTCCTGGTGCTCCTTGGCTTGTGGCCAAATCACTTGTCTCTGCCTCCATCTTCACATGGTCTTCTTCCCTGTGCGTTTCTGTGTCTCCTCTTCTTTTAAAAAAAATTTTAATTAGTTCAAGTATACAGTACGTTGGTTAGACATCTATATAGTTGGAAAAATGATCCCCCCAGTTGCTCCCACCCTCCCTTGACCCTCCACCTAGCCAACATATTAATGCTAATTGCATTCCCTATGCCGTGCTACCCATCCCCATAACCATTCATCAGCTACTAATTTGTACTTCTTTAATCCTTCGCCCCATTCTCCCAGCCCTCCAAACCCCTCTCCCCTTTGTCCGTTACCAAATTGTCCACTATATTTGTATCTGTTTTTGATTAATTTGTTCTTTTTATTCCTTAGATTCCGCATATAAGTGAAATCATATGATGTTTATCTTTCTCTGTCTGACTTAAATACCTTCTAGGTCCATCAAAGCAATATTTTTTTCCATCCCCTTCCTTTTCATATGTAGGGGTCTTGTTTTTTCATCCTTTCAGCCATTCTATCTTTGGGTTGGAGCACTTAATTCTTTTCCATTTAAGGTACTTATTGGTAGGAATGTAGTTTTTACCATCTTTATTCCTGTTTTTGATACATGTTTTTTCTTCTTAAAGAAGTCCTTCCAACATTTCCTGTAATACTGGCTTAGTGGTGATAAATTTCTTTAGCTTATTTTTGTCTGGGAAGCTCTTTATCTGTTCTTCCACTCTAAATGATAACTTTGCTGGATAAAGTATTCTTGGTTGTATATCCTGGGTCTTCATCCTGTCGAATATTTTTTTTGCCAAACCCTTCTGTCCTGCATAGTTTCTTTTGAGAAATCAGCTGCCAGTCTTATGGGTATTCCCTTATATGTAATTATTTGTTTTTCTCTTGCTGTTTTTAAAATTCTTTCTTTGTATTTAATTTAATTATGATGCGTCTTGGTGTGGGTCTCTTCGGATCCCTGATTTTTGGAATTCTCTGAGTTTCCTGCGGTTTTATGTCCATTTCCTTCACCAAGTTAGGGAAGTTTTCCATCATTATTTCTTTAAACAGCTGTTCAACATCTTGATTTTCTTCTGTTATGCCAATCAGATGAATATTTTGAGCCTTAATAGTGTCCCATATCCTCCTTAAATTATTTTTATAGTCTTGGCATCTTTTATCTTGCCATTCTGATTGAGTGTCCTGATTGGCTTTCCTGTCCTCTAGATAGGGCATTTGATCCTCTTCTTTATTCACTTTGTTTATTC